AAAAAAAAAAAAAGTTGACATGTCGATTAAAATGATATTCCTCTTCCCTCTCATCGACTCCATGGAGAACGATTTTCTGATTGCCTACCTGGAGATGACGACCGCGGGGATGGCTCGGTAGAGCGAGTAGGATTCGGTGGAGGATGGGTCGGCGTTTAAGGGGACGTACTTGGCGGAGAAGCCGTGGGACGAGGCTTGGCGACGAGCCTCGTCGTGGATGTTCTCCCGCGCAAGGCGGAGGCGTATGCGGTGGCGGAAGGGGGATTGAAGGAGGTGGCGGACTTGTGTGAACGGAGATCGGAGGAGTCGATTGAATCAGTCGGAACGAATATTAGGCTTGTGAAGGCAGACGGTGGAGGGTTTTCTGTGAAGAAGAGGGAGAGACCGCCGTGTGAAGAAGAGAGAGAGAATTACCATATAGATAGAAAATCAACTTTATATGTATATATGCAAATAAAGTTAACAAATTTGTTAATTTATAAATAATTATATAATGGAGGTAATAATGTAATAATTTCTTATTGGTTTCAATAATTGTGTGTTTGTTGTGTAAATTGATCTTAGTTTAACAAAGAATTGATTTGGAATTAATTAAACTCTGTTGTTAAATTTGATGTGGTTTTTCTATTTTCATATTTAAAGTCATCCGACCGAAAATGGGGACTGGAATTGAAAATATGATTCATCAGTTTCTTTTTCTTTCTTCATTCTTCTTTCTTTTTCCTTTTTGTGTTCATTTTATTTAGAATTTTTTATTGAACTTTTGTTTTAATACTTTGTCATGAAATTGTGTATTTGGATTATAGTTACATTTTTTATTTCTTATTATTGTTTTGACGGTAGGTTGTAGGTTGTTTTTATGTTGTTTAATAATTGTTATGTTATTTTTTTGATGTTGTTGCACAAAAATTTTTATTTTTTTGATTGTTATTTTTCTCTCTCATATATGATCACTTTATCCTACAATGTGTTTTTTTTTTCGTCTTCAACGTATTTTTTGGTCAATTTTTCATTCTAGAATTCATGTTTGCAGATGAAGATCAAGGAAGAGAGAGAAAATGTGCAAGGAGAAATAGGCGAGAGAAAGAAGAAAGAGAAAAGATGATGAAAAAAGAGAAATAGGAGGGAGAAAGAAAAATTCGAAGAGGATGAAAGATTGTTTGTAGCTTCCGCCAAAACAGTTACTAATTGTTTTATAATTTTTTCTGTTGAATTAATTGTGTTTGGAGTATATTTAGAATTGTGTATGACCGGGATATATTGCGGAATAATTTTCTTAAAGTGGGGAAGTTATAAAAATTCCCCCTCATTCGTAATACAAAATAAAAAATAAAAATAAAAAATGGACTGTTGACCCATTAAGAATGCTTGCTGGCCCGATATCGACCCACTACCTAAATTATCTATTTCTATTATGAACGCTTACCTGAAGTGATTAATTAAATGATTAATCAAGGCATAGACATAGTTCAACAAGTCCTCAATCACACTTGGAAGGACAAAAATGTCCCCCATGCACATTTTGCACCAAAAGTTGAACAAAATGACCATTTTGCTCTAGCAATAAATATACATCATTTGTAAAAAGAAAAAATAATAAAAAATCATCAATTTAGAAAAGAAAAATAAAGATTGCATATAGGTTATAGCAGTAAGGGTGCAGGACGGTTAGTAGTATTTTGAATAAATATACATATTTTCAAATTGAAATGTCATATTTTAAAAAACAATATAAATATAAATATGTCATCAGAATTTTTATTAAAAAAATATGACAAGTTAGGTCTCATACAATACACAAGAATTTGTTAAAAGTATTGAGATCAAACAATTGAAAAAACATACACGAGTTGTGTATATACACATTCCAACAAATTCCAACTCACTATTTCATTAACAAAATTCCAACTCAGTACAACTCAAAAGCTCTTACCTTTCCATTCTATCTGTTTAGTTTATTTTTTTTTCCTAATTTTTATATAATTATCAGGATGGGCTATGGGCATCCCTTTAATCCTAATTAATAAAGTATGCAACAACCATAATATAATATAAAGTCCCACCTCTTTATATCACCAAAAGATATTCGACTACTACATTTTTTTTCTTCCAATTGCAAACCCATTTAGTTCTTAGCGCATATTCCCCCCAAAATCTTGCCATTGATGCAAAAAATAGATCACAAAACTCATAATATCGTTCGTCGAATATCCCATTACACTCGATATTTCTTGATACTAAGCCATTGCCCCGTAAAAACTCACGAGCCATCACAATTTGCTAGTCGACCAAGTGAAAATCGCGAAAAGGGTTCGAGAATCTTTCAAAAGATTGGATTTTTTTCGCAGTGTACAAGGTTTGATCATGTCGTGCATGTACGTTTTTCGCGACATCAAGTTCATGTAAAAAAAAAAAAGTAAAGGGATGAAGAAGAGTTTGTTTTGCAACTATTGATGGGTGGTAAGATAGTTTGGATTGTATTGGGTACATTACTATGGCCACAAATTGTAGCATCACAAAACTACACACCACAAAATTCACCAAGTCCTAATTTTCTTTACAATTATACATTAGGTAACATTTTACCTAAGCCTCGTACGGGGCAAATGTATGATGTTTCTCCTCCCATAAACTTCTCGGGAATTCAAATTTCGATCATCCGCTTAAGAACACACCGTTTATGGGAAAACGGGCTTAACTTGAGCTCTTTTCGAATCCCCCCAAGAACTCTGCCTCGTCCCTTCACGAATAGAGTTGACATTTTGTATCAAAATCTTGGCAATTGGTCAACATTCTATTACAATGTCCCGGACCACACGTTTGTCACATCCGTAGTGGGATTTTCAGCCTATGATTCGAACGCGACTCCATTCAGAAACGGACTAATCGAGCTTAATTTAAGAGGGGACGACCCAATTACCGTCAGTTTTCAAAATCTTTCGCTCGGTTGGAATGCGGACATGAGGTGCGTCCGGTTTAGCACTAACGGGACAGTCGAATTTACCAATTTGACCCTGCTGGGCACTTGTGTAGCTAGGGGGCAGGGGCATTTTTCAGTTGTTGTGCCAAGAAAGGGAGGGGAGCATAAAAAGGTGTTTAGGTGGTGGATTTTGGGTTTTGTTGGAGGTTTTGTGGGTTTGGGTTTGGTTGTTTGGGGTGGGTTTTTTGTGGGCAAGGTGTGTCAATGGAAAAAAGTGAGTAAAATGGAGAGGGAATCTGAAAAGAGTGAGAGTTTGGAGGCATTGTGGATTAGAAATAGCAAAATGCCTCTGGCCTCTGCTATTAGAACACAACCATCGCTTGAGAGTAATTGTAATTGTGTTCCATAATTTT